TCCACTAACCAATTTCAATTACAAAATATAAACTATTCTCTTTTTATCATATTTCAACTTAGATTTATTAAGCATAGATTATCAAACCATTTAAGGAAAGTGTAACCTATCAAATTATCATCTAAGTCAAAATTACTATTCATGATAAGAACAACAACATGATAATAATCCTAGAATTCATAAGCATAACCTATCAAACCATTTAAGATAAGCATAGATTATCAAATTCTTCTTCTACCGATTAGTTCTCTAGTTGATTATCCTAAACATGAACATTTTAAGTACAAGAGAATAATTCATACAATATAAAAGAAATTAGACTAGTTTCATACAATTCTAAGATTCCTACAAGAATTAAATTCACATCTTAAGAAATAAAAACAAGAAAAAGAAGACTAATTACAAAATTAAAAAGAAAAGAAAAATCTAAACTATGAACAAGAAATAAATCTAATTACAAAGAAAATAAAAATCTAAACTACAAAATAAATTGCAGAAATTAAATGCAAGAAAAATAAATCTACTCTACAAATTAAAGTGCAAAAAGAAAATAAAAAAGACAAGAAAGTAAATCTATACTACAAGCATGAATTTAAATCTAACTAATAAGCAATAATAAAGAAATTACTAAAAAGATTTTTGTTCTTCTCTAGCCCAAATATAGGAGGCCCAATTGATTTTTAAAAATAAATGAAAATGAGGTTGGAGCAATCAAGTCCGGTCCATTTCTTGGAGAAGCCCATATCAAAGAATTCGGTCCATGTAGTGGTCTCCATCTGCAGCAAATCAAGTCCGCCGAATTTCTATCCACATTTGAGCAGTGAATTTCAAAAGCAATTTAAGTCCATAGCAACCAACAACCAAGTCCAATGATTTTTAAAAATGAAATCTCCAGCAGCCCAACTTGAAGAGCTGCAGCAACAAAGGTCCACTTGAAGGTGTAATCATCTTTGGCATTTGATTTTCGGCCCACACAAGATGAAAACCAAATTCGGCCCACACAAGATGAAACCAAATTCGGCCCACTCATTTGATTTTCAAAACCGAAAATTGAAAGCTGCAAAGGTCCGGCCCATGCATGTACAAAATAATCAAATGCTATATGTCCGGCCCATAGCATGTACAAAATAATCAAATGCTATATGTCCGGCCCATCTTGCATCCATGAAGAGAATACTGCAGTAAGCAAATCCGGCCTCCAAATTTTGATTCATTTGATACAAATGCAAATAAGTCCAAAACAACATGATAATTATCTTGGAGATCATTTTCTTCACTTGCTCTTTGGGCTTCACTCATGGGCTTCTAAAATGCTACAAAAACGAGAAGAGAGATTTTGAGGGGTTTTTATATTTAATAATATTTATTTATATTTATGTGCAAACTAAGCTAACAACAATTATTAATTGTATATTTATTCATATAAAATAGATAATGAGGGTATAAAATTGTAATAAAAATATGATTATCACGTCTTGACTATGCCGCAGACTCTTCTTGGTAGAAGAGCATATACACCACCCGAGGGCTATGATAAGGAGGAAAAGATGATGAAGATTAATGATATGTATATAAGTATAAGCTTAATTTCATATTTGCACATAAGTATTTCTAATTAGAATTCCTAATTTATTTATTTTTATTGCTATATGTTACTCAGGCGGTGCTTAAAGCTTTACAAGACTTTGTCTTGTCCCAGTCTTAGGGCATAGATGACACTCCTACGTATCCTAATCGCATGAACAAAGAGCAATGGAGGGAAATTGTTGATGGAGCTTATGGCTCTAGACCAATCAAGAAAGGGAGGGTGCCTTTATCAAGTGCTAAAGTTAGGACATTCACCACTAGCAGGGCTATGCATAGCGACTCGTCTGTGACCTCGAAGTGACCTTGTGAGACATCGTACGTCGTGGGTAAACTTTGACAGTATTTATTGGACAATTTTCAACCCTCCATGGCTTTTCAATTTCTTCCAATTATTACGCGCGAGCTAGGGGGTGCACAATCGACTTGGAATGTTGCACATCGCATCATTGAGTGTTCGTCCTTAAAGGAGAGTCTTCCTGAGTCGATATGCGTAGCTATCACTAAGTTGGCGTTTGCCGAGTATGGAGTTCATGATGATGGAAAGGTATATATGACATGACATATATGTATTTATTAATATTTTTTTGGAATATATATACTCTTATGTTGAGTGGTAATCTTTTCAGGTTAGAGGAGGTACTCCCGTATGGAGTAGCAGTACGATACGACATTCTAATGCAGACGACACTAACAACAATGATGCCGACAACGACAATGACGAGGAGTGAGTGAGACTTGTTTTTATATGTATGTAGTTTTAGATTGTGTTAAAACATGTTATGACTTTTAAATTTTACCTACATGTATATTGCTTAGTGAATGAATATTGTTTGAGCATGCGATATGTGTTATGATTGTAATTATTAGATGGGTATTGTTTGATATTGTACATTGATGGATGATGATGGATGGGTATTCATTTGGAATGTGAATATATATAATGGCTGATTTTATGATATATTGTTAAATATTATCATTGGATTAATATGGATACAGGCTATATATGTATTCCTGTCTGGGAGACTACCAGAAAATATAAATTTTTTTACATGCATATGTATATTGGCGACGGGGAAACCCATCGCCAATGCATATTGGCGATGAGGCTACCCGTCGCCAATGTTTAAAACATTGACGACGGATTGCCCTATCGCCACTACGCATTGGCGACGGATTGCCCATCACCAATGTTTAAAACATTAGCGACGGATTTGTGACCGTCACCAATAGGCTTTGGCAGCGGATTTATTGGCGACGGATCCTATACCGTCACCAATGTGTATTGGTGACGAATTTTGGGGTATTGGTGACGGATTTTCCCCGTCGTCAATGCCCTGTTTTTTTACTAGTGAGATCAAAACTGAGTTATTAAAAAAAATTCTATTAAATGTCTTCTCATACTAGAAAACAACTCTCACACAATGACAGTTTCAAATTCAAGCTCTAAATTTTCTCAAAAATAAAAAGAAATCCATACTGTAAATACCAATTAAGCTAAAATCATAGTGATGACGTGAATAATATTGGAAAATCACGTTCAATCCTGCAACTATGAAAGACAAAATGGGGTTAACAACCGTAAATGGCTTTTCATTCAATTTTATAAATTGTTTTCATGCAGTGCTTCATAATTCCGGTCTCTTTTCTTTGTTTTTCCGTCAAGGGTACATGTTTGCATTCGTACTGTAAGCACAACTTTTAAAAAAACAAAATATAAAAGGGAAAAATTTATACAAT